GGGGCTTGGAAATTTTGGAAAAAAAGAGTGGCTTATACATGGGAAAATACGGTAAATCATCTAATAGGAAGTAAATGGTGGACGGGATTGGGGGCTTATAGGCAGTCGGTTAGATAAGGAAGGTAATCTCAATTACAGTGGCGAAAAGCTGGCAGATTGAGTGAGGTAGATGACTAATTGAAAGTTTTTTTTGGCTTCTGGAAGACCTGTGAACGTTAATTGAAACTAGTGATGAAGGTGAATACGGGAAAGTGGGCGAAAGTGGAACAAAAGATAAAACAGAAAAGTAAGAAGTCGTCTTTTACTGACAATGCCTAACACGATACCGGCGAAGTGATTGGAATGTACAACATCAATGGCTTAATGCTAGAAATTATAATAACTACTATGACAAAGGGCGCGGAATTGAGTATGTTCGATAAGTTTACCCTTTTCCCCCAACCGAGTTGCGAAAGCAAGGTCGAATCAACACACCATCTTGGTCTTCATGCCTTCGACTATAACTAAATTTTACTAAGTCTGACTGCTAGTATCCCAACTAACCTGGCAACTAACACTCAAGCTGAATAGTTTGGAAGGTTAGAGTGGTTCTAAGCTCGATAATGCCCAACAAAGAAGTTCATCAGAGCTCGTCTATACATTTTCCAAATTTGTCACACTTCTCAGACCTGGAGACATTTTTTAAATACCCACCTGGAGCCATGCCATTGCATCTTCACAAAAGTAACAACAGAAACGTCAACTAACGTCCACCAAATAACCTTTGAAAAACCGAATTAACTATAAGGCGCTATGAACTGCCTAAATTGAAGCTGTCAGACAACAGAATTTGCGGGTGGTTGATGTCAACTTCAAGACATAGTATTTGTGAAAACATCAGTTTCCTCCGCAAATAGCAAAGTTGGCCGTTCTGACATCATTTGTAGCATGTCACTTCGTCTTAGCTGTTAGGTGAAAGGTCTCGATGCGTGTGTGAATGAGTGTGTGTGTGTGTGTGCGCGCTGGAATGCCTGTACATGTGTCTATAATGGTTATGATGCTTTGCATAACAGTGATCAGAAATAAGCCAGTATCTCTTTGGGCATCTTGCCAACGGGATGCTCAGCACCGCTGCTTTCCTTTTGTGCGCACGGCTAGTCCAGCTGGTGTAATGGGGATAGCACCTTTCTTAATATAGCCGGGGCAACAAAATTATTGTTCAAGAATTAATGTAAGCCTCAAATGCTGCTCACATCAAGAATGAGTAGTGTAATCGATTTCAATGTCACTTGTATGTTTGTCATGTAGAAAGTTCCCCTACACATGTGATCTAAGTAGGTTTTGGCTTACATTGCAAGTCATACCTGCGACATGTCTCCACTATCTTCCGCAACCGGTTTCGTATCACATTAATTGTACTGATGAGAACTAGGCGAGGCCGAAACTGACGTCCAGCCCCGTGACGAAAACTTTTTGGTAGGATAGGTTGAGTGAAATTCAGTGGCATTTT